ATTCCTGCAAGTTTCTTAATCTGAGGATATGAGAATCCCTGTTAAGACTATCCTTAAGTACTTTCCTGAATCGGAGCCTAAAACAACAAGGCCCACGGACAGGGCTTTTAACTGCTTGACAGTGCCGCTTTGAAATTTGTTGAGTCTTCAGGAATCTGGCTGCTGCTCTCCACGGTGGTTGCACCGCAGCTGCTGTCGGGTAGGAAGGTCCCTGTAGCTGACGGTGAGGGAAGAAGGACCACGCTAGTACTTCCAGTTGTTCATACAAACTCATTCATTTCTATGACGCCTAATACTAAAGGCTTCTTGTTTCTTGATTCAAAGATAATTTTTTTCAATCCATGTTAGGTGTCTTTTTTTCTCCTTTTAAGGATCAAAGGGCTTGGTTCTGTGATGCTCACTCGCATGAATTCCTGGTGCAATTTAAGCAGGATTTTACCTGTAGTTGTGGCTGCTGGGCTGGTCCTCCCTAATGCTTGAATTTCCTACTCCTCCTCTTTCAGCGTATTAGTGTATCCCTTTTGTTTCACAGTTACGAAGGTGTTAACTGGGGATCTATACCTGGAAGAGTAGAGGAGTTTCTAAACATTCCTGTGAAGCAGAGGGCTGAAGTGAGAATTATGTTTGACATTGCGGGCTGGAAGCTTTTCCAGCAAAATCCGCATAAATAAATCCTGGGTAAGGCAGGTCATACATACAGTTAAATCACAGATAAAAAGTTATTTTTCAACCATCACTTTTAAAGGACTAGATTTTTCTGCATTTGGCACCGTAAGGAATTCAGCCTGTTCTCCAGCATTGCCAGGTCATCTCGTAGTGTTTTGCTACTAATGGATCTCAACTGGGAAGATTAAAGCAGCAGATCATTCCTTGAAAAGGCTGAGGAGTCTTAAACAACAACAAAAAAAATCCAAACTCTTCTCCCCACAGTCTGAACAAACATTTTCACAAGAGTAAGTGTAGCCACTCGTTCTAACATATCAATCTTAGTGGAAAAATCCACTGCTTTGAGTGATAGGTTTAGACCTTAAAGCATTTCCAGTATAATAAAAAGTGATGGAAGAATTCGGGGGCTGTGGAGGGATGGAAGTGCCTGACTGTTTGCTTTGGCTCTTTCTAATATGTGTAGGCATTTCCATTTCTCGAGAAGTATCAATTAAGCCGTATTGACTTTTATTTCTGGAAATTGGAAGCTTTATTCTCTCAGCTAAATAAAGAGCAGGATTGTGGTTTGTTCAAAACTTTTTCACCCATTTCATACCTTTGCTCTTTTATCTTTCTTGAGACATGGAGCAGTTACAGGATAAAACCGCAGCCGACAGTACTGATGTGGACGCATTTGAAAGTAGGTCAGCGCACCTGGAACTGTGAAAGGTTCCCGATGAAGACTGAGACAGTGTGAAGTTTTTTATGTGTTAGAAACATCCTTTTGTAGAAATGTTGGCAACATACGCCAACGTAAAGATAAATTGGTCACACTGGCATTAGAGGCACTGTGCTGATTTCTCATCTGATTAACTGGACCTTATTGAATTAATAAATTGCAGCAGGGCAAGAGCATCTAGAGCATGTTCTGCTGGAGCTTAGGGATCGATGCTGTAGAGCTGGAGTTGTCATCCCGGTGTCATTCAGGGAGCAAATGCTCTCCTAGGTTTGACATACAGACCTACTTAATGTGGATTTTTTCTTTAGCATGCTTTTGTTTGTCCCTTAAAAACCTTTGTGTAGCTGTTAGCATTTCAGCCCACTCTGTAGTAAGGTTTGCAGACAACAAAACAAAGAAGTTGTTGTCCCACCAACAAAGCCTTTGCTGCTTCTGTCCTCCTCAGGGTGAAGGCAGCACAGAATGAGTTGGGACAGCAGATCCTGGCTGACTTCGAGGAGGCCTTTCCTTCTCAAGGTACAAAGGTAAAATTGTCACTTGCCCTCTTCCTCCCATTGAACAGTGTTGCTGAAAACTATTCAACGTAATTGTTGTTGGCTTTAATCTCATTTGACATCTAGATTTGATCTCTCTCTGTTTCAGGAGTTATTTTAGAAAGCAAACGAGTCTCCCAAGCTGCAGGGTGCTAGGTATTCTCTCACTGTTTCTATCGAGTGTTGGTGGCAGAGAAACGACGCCCTTCCTCTGTCGTGCTGCGCCCGTCCGTTGCAGCGAGGTCTGCAAGCCAGTCGAGGAATGCCCCAGGCAGCTCATGTGTGGCCCTAAAGACCAGCGTGGGGTTCCTTCGGCGTCTCACCCGGGTTACTGGTTATTTGCTGGACGCAGAAGGTGCCTGTTGTGTTTCGGGAAAGGCAAGCACAGGCTGTCTGTTGAGATGCCACCACCAAGTTTGTCTCCAGTTTACCCGGACAGCGCAGACACAGGTCTGGGCTAAGGGAGCAAATGTGCGCCCCCAAAACTGTGCGTCCAACTGTTTGCAGACAGTGTGGGGGGAGAGGTGTCAATCTGAATTTATTTCAAAGTGAACGCTAGTTCTGTCTTCCAGAGTATCAGCTTTGCTGGTTTCTTCCTAAAGCTAGCAAGTACAGAGAAGAGAAAACTATTTGGAACAGATCCTTGATGAAGGGCAAATCTCTGTCCATGTAACGTAGCTTCGAAACAGCGTGTTTTGTAAAAATTCTTCTAAATTTTCTGTCTCTTCCACGAACATCATGGTGTGCCAGTACAGACCAGCAGATGCCACTTTAATTGTTGCAAGTTCATCATCTCTATAGGGCTTTTTCCCCCCATTAGTTTGGCCTTGCAGTTTTGCTTGTCCCACTTGTCAGCCGCTTCTCGTAGCTGTTCCTCGGAATATCCAGGGCTATGCAAGGCTTTGCAGAAGTGCTGGGACAATGATTCTTTCTGGAGGTGGAGCTGGCTGCCCTTCTGCGACAGGGAGCTTCCTGGCTGTTGAGAACAACTTTACGGCCAGCGAAGTGGAAGGAGCTGTTTTCTTCCAACAGAAGAGATGCTTAAGTGGTAATAAAGAGTAGCAGCAGAAGCACCAAAAAGAGAAGAATAATTGGAAAGGATGAAAACAAGATAACCTGGATGCAGCACAATTTACAGTCACACATTCAGCTATTTAACCTTAAATCGTTTGTTCCTGTTTATTTTGCTAGAGGCCTGGTGGACCCAGCAATGTCCTACGTGATGCGTGTCTGGTCGCCAATGTCCTGGATCCCAGAATCAAACAGGAAATCATCAAGAAATTTATTAAACAACACCTCTCGGAGTACCTGGTCCTTTTCCAGGAAAACCAAGATGTAAGGGAAGCTTAGCGAGCGACATTTGGAATTCGCATTTTGCTCTGCTGGCGTTCACAGAGTGCGCGTTTCCCCAGGTTCCTGTGGTGAAATGTTTTTAACCCGAGGGCTTCTCTGCCAGGATGAGTGCCTCCCGCCTTAGACCTCGGTTTCATGGATCAGCACTGGAAATGTTTTCCCCTCGTACAGCAAAGAAATAAATTCAGGTTAAATATACTTCTTGCCCTGTAAAGGGTTGAAAAATTAAGCTCTGAAAATTGCAAACCCCAAAACTGTAAAAAACAGCAGCACCTCCCCCGAAACAAACAAGAAAAGCCCAAAATGCCAAAAAAGGCGGGGAAGGGATTTCCAGGGAGTGGATTAATCTTTGCAGCTAATTTTTAAACTTCCTGTGCTGATGCTAACAGCTTTTTAAAAATTTAATATAATCATTTTGGATTTGAAAAACAACAAACGAAAACCAATTTTGGATCAAAATGTATTTTAACAATTTTGAAATTTTGATGATTTGTGACAAAGAAGGGGATAAAGGCTAAAATCTAAAGTGCTATTTTAAATAGTATTTTTCCGTCAAAGTTTTTTGGATTAATCTTTCTACTTTTTGACCAGAAAGTAATAATATTTGAGGGGGAAAATACCCATTCTGCTCATATTGTCAGAATTCGTGTAGAGGTTTGTGGGCCCACAGTCCCCAGAGTGTGAAAACCAGCTGTGTGAAAACCAGCTGAATGTTAGAATCCAGGAATTCCTGCATTTTCATCCCAGTGTTGACTTAGATTTGTCTGTCTGCAAAACAAAGAAAGAGGGTAGGATCAAATGAATTATGATTGGATTGAGTTTTCAATAGCACCTACGTGATTTAGGAGTGCTGTTATCCTTGTTTTCAACAGAACTTGCTCACTTAATTCACACCAGGTAGGGTTTTCAGTCTGGCGTGTGCTTCAGCACTTTGAAGAATGACTGTTAACATTCAAGGTGTTATTAATAGTGGTCAGGTTAGCTTTGATCGATAGCCCACGCTCCTCTGTGAAGCTACAGCAGCCCAGTTAAGCAACCAGGCTGAATATTAGCAGCTGCCGCTGTTAAAGATGTTCTCTGTCTTATTCAGGTGGCCTGGCTGGATAAGATTGACCGGCGCTATGCTTGGATAAAGCGTCAGCTGGTGGACTACGAGGAGAAGTACGGGCGGATGTTTCCCCAGGAGTGGTGCATGACGGAGCGCATCGCTGTGGAGTTCTGCCACGTCACGAGGTGAGCGTCTGGGGAGCTCACGGTGCTTCCCGGGGGAGCCACCGTCCCTAAAACAGAAGGATGGCTTGTCTTTCACCAGATTGGTCGTATACCCATGGGACTTTAAAGGCAGTCTTCGAATATCTGTGTAGAATTGTCCATGATTAAAAGCAAGTGGGGAGTGAAAACCCTGAGAAGTATCACAAGAACTGCATGTGCTGTTGAGGGAGTGAGGTGATGTGGAAATGAATTTTCAGTGTAACAGAGGTAAAAATCAGCCATATCCGAGGCCAAGTGAAATCGCGTGAGCTGGCTATGGTGTGACTGCCTTGCACCGTGCTCTTTGCCAGCCAGAGACAGGGGACCCGAGGAAGGTGCCAGCTGGAGTCCCAGTAGCACCATTGCCTTTGTTCTGGGACCCCAGTCGGAGACATTGCGCTTCCCAAGGTTTGATGCTGTGGCCATTGCTGGCTGCAGTGGTGCGCTGGGTGTTAGGAGGTGGGGTCCTGTTACCCACAGAGCTCTAAACAACTGCAGTTGTGTTTGAAATGTGATCTGTAAAATGGTTTTATGTTAGAGAGCATCTTAGGGATTAGCTCAAATTTTGTGCTGAAAGTGTCTCTAGGGAATAGACTGAACTACAATCTTAGGTTTCAAATCTTTCTCTTTGTAGAAAACCACATTTTTTTTCTGTTTTTCCCCTCTCTCTTTCAGGGCAGAGCTTGCTAAGATAATGCGCACGAGAGCAAAGGAGATCGAGGTGAAATTGCTTTTGTTTGCAATTCAGAGGACAACCAACTTTGAAGGACTTCTGGCTAAACGCTTCTCAGGTTGCACTCTAGCTGATGGGACAGTGGTAAGGGGATTTCTAAAGAGCAGCCCTTCAGTCCACAGGGAGAATCAGCCCCCTCTCGCACATAGCTGTGGTAATGGTCAGGCGTTGGAACAGGCTGCCCAGGGAAGTGGCTGGGTCACCACCCCTGGAGGTGTTCAAAAAATGTGTAGATGTGGCACTTTGGGACGTGGTTTAGCAGGCATGGTGGTGTTGGGGTGACAGTTGGACTTGATGATCTGAGAGGTCTTTTCCAACCTTAATGGTTCCATGATTCCATGAATGGGAGACTGCAGAAAGTGTCACCCAGAGCCTCCTCTTGTGCTGGCACGTTAGAGGGTTTAGTGTGACCGTGCTTAGTGGGTTGTGATTGGGAAGGTGATTCTTGATCTTGCGGACTGTGGTAGAGACTGCTTGTGAGCTCTTTTGATTCTCTTGGGCCCTGTGCTGTTTGCAACTGAAGCTGCATTGCTGTGGAGAACCACAAAGTAATTATGGTGTGGTGACTGCATTATAATGTCTGTTCTCTGCATGTCAGTGACACATTATAACTAAAAGTCCCCTCATCTCTTGGTTTCTAGTTACGACACGTTCACCGCATGGTACCAACTTTCAATCCCACATTGTCCGTTGGGTTTGTCTTACTTACAGGGGCGTCGGTAACTTCTACTTTTCGCTGTCTCCTTTGGTAGGTTGTAAAGGCAGAGCCAAGAGAAACAGCTCCGTGAATATCTCTGGGGTCATCTCTGTGCTTTTTCTGCCTGAAATCTCAGCCAAAAGCTCTGCCAGCCAAATGCCCTGGGAGCACAGAGCCCACGTGTGGCTCAGAAGCTGCTGCTTTGAGGTTGGCTTCCCTGTCCAGCTGGTGTCTTGAAGCCTGCTTGGATGTGATAATTCAGCCTATGAGGCGAGCCTGCTGGGCCTGTCTGTAATTTGCTGCGGATCAGTAGGTGCCGCTAATTAAAAAGGGAAGTCCTGTAAGGTTTTCCTCCTGGCTGAATTTAGATCTCTCAAGAATATAGCTTTATTTTTCTGACAAATTTCATACGAAATTTGTAGCTTTAATTAAATTGGCTTCACTGGGTTGTTATCCCTTTGGAGAAGGTAGGCACAGAAGCTGCTATAACTGAGAAAAACAGAAGGGGAGGGTGTGGCTTGAAATAAAAAAAAATCCTCGCTGTCCCCCTTTCTGAGCTGCCTAGAGGCTGTGACACTCTGGATGTCATCGTCTGACCTGTTTTATACACAAAATGAAGGCCAGAATTTTAAGTGGCTACCTAGCGAGTGCACATGGGGACGAGCAGTCTGGTGGGAGCAGCAGCGTGGGATTTACTGCGGCGGCTGAGTTTTGGGGCTGCTGTCGTGCGTCCTCCCCCTGGACACCACATACCTGGGGGTGCCTGGGGGTGTGTGGTTTGGGAGGGTGGAAATTTGGCACTGGTTAAAATGCCCCTTGCAGGGACAATTTGGGCGGAGTGAGCGAGCATGGGTGTGAGAGAAGCAGGCTGTAAGAGGGTGCTGAGGATGAAGGGTGCTGGTGGAGCGATGGAGAGGGAGCTAGACTCCCTCTGTGGGAGTGGGAGCCTGTAGTAGCCCTGTAGTAGGAGGGAGCGTGCTCTAACCTTGGTGGCGAGGCACTGGCTAGCACTCTGCAGTCCCCTCTGTGCTCGGAGAGGACGAACTGCTGTGAAGGGCTTTGAAGGGCTCAGTAAAGCAGAACGTGGATGCAGCTGTGTGTGAGATGTTTCAGAACGGACTGTTCTCTCAGGAGCTTCCTCTTTTTTAACAGAAGAAGCCAGAAGTGCCACCTCCCTCCACCAACCCATTTCTGGAAGATGAAACTGGGACAGAGACAGATGAGATTGTGATCGAGAAAAGTGATATGGACAAAGTAAGTCTTTGAAGTTCTCCGGTTGTCAGTGAGGCAGTCTCTGTGTCAAAATCTCTAGTGGTGCCTAAGCTTTTCCCATCGCATTGATTTGAAAGATTTGTTTTCACAGCAATTAATTTAGCACCGTTTTGATCCTCTGTGCAGCGTACGGGCTCCCAGTACGATCATGGTTTGCTCTGGCTCATTTCACTGCAACGAAAGCAATCTTTATTTCAGTTAATAGTGCAGAGACAGTCCTGCCACATGAGGGTGAGTTGGATTCTGCTCTAGCCCATACAGCAACAGCTCAGATGTCACTACAGGATTTCTGTCAAAGAAAGATGAACTAGCATAACTGGGTTTTCAGAGCCCAGAAGCAGCTCCCACTGCAAGCAGTTGCAATTTGTATTTTGCCTTGTTGGCCAAAGTCAGTCTGGAGTCACTAGGCAACTCGTGGAACTTTCAAGTGTCAGTTTGAGTAGATTTTTCACTTCAAATATATTACTTCTGGGATTTTTATCTCTACAGTGCTTTTCATCCACTGCCTCTGCAAAGCAGGCAACACCTAACCGCTTGTAAAAGCACTGGGTTTCCAAAGCCCTCTGCAAGCATTAAAGGAGTGAACAGTAAACACAATTGTTTTAATTGGCGCCCATGTCAAAGCCTGTAAGCCTCATATTCTTTACTCACCAGTCACATATTTTCTGAGTGTTCAGTTGTAAGTTGCTTGGAGAGGGTGAGTTTCAGCCCTGTGAATGGGCCAGGTGTAGGTGGTATCCTGATGGATGACCACGTGTCCATGCCCCTGGGCAGATCAGGAGGTGGTAGCTCTCCACCAGCGTAGTTTGGTGCACTGCGTCCACTCCAGATTTGCCCATGAGCAGGGCAGCCCTCTGCCTTCCACCCACAGCAGAAGTCCTGAAACAGAATGATTAAGCAAAGTTTTGCTCTTCCCATTAAAATATAACTTGGACAGTTAGCATTGGCTGGACTTCATCAGTGATCTGGAAGACAGAGATTGGGAACTTGGGGAGACACGTGTATGGTGTAGTTTTTGTGAAGAGCTTGCTTTGCGCTGTCTGTAATGGCTGGAAGAAGGTTGGCTCTGATGTGCCATGCTGGGGTGAGAAGACGTCCTTGGAGAAGTCTATAGTGCTAGAAGATATAGTGCTAGAAGGCACTCAGAAGAGATAATTGCAATAATTAGGCTGCTCAGGGCTGGTTTTAGTGAAGAGTACAACGCACTGGCCAGGCCAGCAGCAGCTCAGGTGCTTCTGAGAAAGGAGCCGCTCTGCTCCCTGTACACGGGGAGGCTGGTGCAAAGCCATGCACTGAGCTACCCCTTGAAATGCTGTTTGTGGCGAGGTTGCCCTCTCCTTCTGGGTACGCGCTGTGTTAGTGCTCACAACGCAGTGCTGGACTCCGCTGCAAGGGCGGCTGCCAAATGGGAGCCCCGTAGGCTCCAATATTTCAGTTTCAAGGCGCCAGCAGCTGGTGGGTAGTGCTGGTGGGTTCGTGTTGGAGGTCTCGTCTGCTGCTGTCGCTAGCTGAAGAAAAGGGACGGGAAGAGTTGAAGATGAAGAGTTTTGAGTGGTAGAGCTCTTCCAAGACATTGGTCATGAGAATTCAAGACAGTTGGGAGTGTAAGAAGGAGCACAAGAGTTTGGGGGGGGAAATCCATGTTAAAAAAGAACCTCTTTTAGTGGTCCTAGCTGTTCAATTTAATCTGTTTACTTTGGATAGTAATGAAAGGAAACTGGGCCAGCTGCAGACCTCCTTACTGTGACAACAGTAACCTTTTATTATTTCCATCAAACTCAAGGAGGAAATAGCTTAAACATCTGCAGCTTTTGGACAGGATTGCACACTCAGAAATACAGCTTCACTGCTACTGTTAAAAGACTTAGTATTCTCCCCACCAGACATGCTGGGAGCAGCGTGATGCAGAGACACACGGGGACACGCAGAAAACCAGTCCTGCATTAGGAGCTGGCTCTTCCAGCCTGGTAAATCGTAAACATCATGAATCTGCAAGCTTGTGTCGGCACTGCCATCCTGGAGACTTGGCGACTGGAAGGTTTCTGTAATTACCACCTATTGTTTGCCTCCTGGCTCCGATGCACGTGTGCATCCGGCAGAAACGGGCAGGCACTGGCAAAGGGGCTGGGGTGGAGAATGCTGGCTGGTGGCTCTCTCCCAAAGCTGTAAAAACTTACATTCTCCAGTCATGCTCTCAGTGAGAAGGTTAATGAAGCCGGTCTCGTAGAGGTGGTCTGGTCTCCATAAAACCGTTTGCTCGCTTTAGGTTTGCAGCCATATGTTAGTATTCATTGTGTCTATGAGTCTTAATTATTTCTGAGAAATGCTTGCCATGTCATTCTTTGCTATTTCTGCAAATGACTTTGTGCCACTTCCTCTGTTATTTAGGAGGGTATGTCCTTTAGGCTCTCTTATTTTCCTTTTCTTACGCTAAAAAAAAAATTTCCACTGGAAAAGTTCGTATCTTCATTGGCTGGGAGCTGATTCTGGCGTTTCGCAGAGAGAGGCAAGAATTCCATTCCCGACTCACTGCAGCCCTCTTTGCAGGCAGTGAAAAATTGTCAGCTTGCCAGCAAGCAACGAGAAAAATTGTCTTTTGGTAAAACAAAATTAAAATCTAGCTGTAGGGCAAAGATGAGCTTAAAGGCCTGGTACTTAAACGTGCAGAAGTTTAAGCATATGAGTAGTCCCAGTGGCTTCAGTGGGATGTGCTTGGCCACTGTGTAGGATGTAGTACTGACCGAAAATGAGAGCAAACGGGATGGCTCCCAAATGGCGTATGTGCTTAATGCTCTAAATGTGATTTTAAAATAGAAGTCTTTGCATCCCCAGAAAAGTGTTTCATGGTGAAAGCAGTCCTGTAATGTTGCCTGTATAATTCCAGCTCCTCCAGTAATTGTGTTCTGTTTATCTAAATAAAATTCATCCAGATGAAGTCTGTAACTTTGAGTTATTATCCTTAACGTTCTGAAATGGAGGGATTTTTCAGTGTTGCTTCCAAGTAACTGCTGCGTTTCATTCCAGAGGTGACTAGTGGAGCCTTGTTACTGGTGGAAGAGTTCAGCATGGTTTTATTTATGAACTGCGTGAAGCTTCTTCTACTGAAATCTCTTTGCATGCAGCAGTCTTCTCTTTAAGGATAAGAATATTTTACAAGTGAAAAGAGAATTCCTTGGAACACTAACAGCTCTGTAAGAGGGAGGGAAGACTCAGGCACACTGACCCCATATATACTGTTGATTATATGCCTTTGATGATTTGACAGCAAATTTCTGTGCTGTGATATTTCTAAGACTTAGATCCTTCTGTGCTGTTGCATTACTGTTTCTGCTAGGCCGTACAGGGCGGGTTTGAAACCAACACTCTACATGTTTTCTTACAGCCAAAGAAGCCAAAGGTACCTGACAATCCTTTTCACGGCATTGTTTCCAAGTGCTTTGAGCCTCACCTGTATGTGTACATCGAGTCCCAGGACAAGTGAGTAGCCAGCGTGCACTTTGGGGTTGGTTTGCTTTAGAATCTGTGTTGCAGTGGGATTGTGCTAGATTCTGTACTCAAGCTGCAGAGAATTAATTTCTTGGAAGTTGGTTTCCTCATCTCATCAGGAGCAGTATTCGTGGCTCAAAAATTTAGAACGAGTGGGACCTTTTCTTAGGCAAAAATGTGCGCTCGGAGGGCTACGGATGTTGGTTTTGTCTGGAATTGCGAAGGCCTGCAGGAACGATGCCCGCTGCCTTTCTGCGGAAGAGGCTTAGCTTTTCTGAAATTGCTTCTGTTGCCTCTGCAATTCCCACTGCAGACGTATGCCTTTCTTTCGTCTCGTGTCTTCCACAAATAGTAGGTTTGCTTTTTCTGTGAAATACACATGTGGCTTTGTGGCAGAGGAGTTTCAAGGTTTGCTTTGTAGAAATAAGTTATTTGAGATCCTGAGATGAAAGCTGCTGTAGATGAGCTGGCTGTAAGATAACATTATCGTCACTCACAGATTGGGACTTTGTCAGGGGCTTTAATCCCTGGAACCCTTCTTCATCTTCCTCTGACTTGCAGCAAAATAACTTGAATGAAAGGAGCTTTCAGCTTAGAGCTCTGAGAAGTTTTTAGAGCTCTCACCACACTTTGTTGTGCACCTTGATTCACACCAGGGTTTAAATGATGTCTCTGTAACAACTGCAGTGCCAGCTGGGAGAGGAGATAGTTGAAAAAGGTTTAACACGCTCTTTTAGTGCAGTTTAGTGACTGGAAAGGAGAGAGAAAGAGGTGCCTGCCTCATGCAACTCATCGGTCTATGCCCTTCTATCTTCCAAGGACTTACACATGAGAGAGTGCGTAACTCGAGGCGTGTAGCGTCCTGCTTTTGTCCAGACTCCAAGACAGCCGTCTTTGAAAAGGTTTCCCGTGTCCCGTCAACCTTTCATGCTTGTAGAAAATGAAATAAATAAAACCTTGCACAATGGTCTGTCGTGCTGGGTTGAGGTTCCGCTCTGCAGTAGAACAAAGGGAAGCAGATATTTCCCCGCCCTGCCCTCCGCCAACTGAGCACTGACTGGTTTGAATATTTCTTCCCTGCTCACTGGGGGCCATTTTAATCCCCGTTTTGGTAATTCTACCCCACTGCGTTCCTAGGCCTTTCAGTTGCTTTTTTTTTTTTTCCCTTTTCCTTTACAATCCTGAGATGTTTTATATTAGCTTTATAGCCGCAGGCTGCAAGGAGTTCAAAGAAGAACTGCCACAGTATTCCCCATGCGGCCCCTGTCTGCCAAAAACCGCTTTCCTTTACGATTTTCTCTCTTCTTCTCCCTTTGATTGAACTTTTGAGGAATCTGTCGCTGATGCCTGAAAATGAGTTGCTTAGATAATTAATTGTATGTTTGGGCTCTGAATAGGGAGAGTAGTGTGACAGTTTTGTTCATCATTGCCTGAAGTCTGTGGCAGAAAGCAACCTGGACCTTTTCTCCTGAAAAAATGTTTCCATACCCATTTAGAGAAACACAGTGCCAACATCTGTAGCAATTTAAGAGGAGACACCTGACAGAAAGACTTTCAAGATGCTGCTCTCCACCCTTAGCTGCAGTGTAAATATCAGATTTCTCAACAGCGACGCAGATTTCATTTCTGCCCCGTTGGGCTGTGTCTTCAGCTCCTCTGTGGTCTGGTGGAGGTTCAGGAGCGTCCGCCTGTGAGCTAAGCTGTGCTGCGGCAGCGAAGGAAGAGCTCTGTCGGGTCTGCAGTGCAGAGGGTGGGCAGAGCCGGGGTTAAGTGTGCTAAAAGGTACGTGTGCATTCAGGTTGTTCGGAAAACTGGCAGTTTATCTTTGCGGCCTCGTGAGCAGAGGAGCTTCCAAAATACGCAGTCCATGGAAGCTGTCCTACAAGTGGTCCGGACACCGTTGTGTCCTTCCCCAGTGCCCACCAGACACCAACTGCTCACATCACTGAACAGACCAACTCACTAAGCACCATGTTCTTCTCCCATGCTGCTGAGGAGATGCCTGCTTCCTCTTGTGATTGCCAGAGATGCAGAAAAAACACTGGATAGTTGGAGTGGCAGAACAAAGGAAAGAAAGGATTTAAGGACCAGAATAAAATTCCCTTTATTATTGCATTTCATATTTTCTCTTGGTTAGATTTGGAGACTTCTTGCTTCCAGTAAATATGCTACTGTTAGGAAAGACATCTGTGTTACCAGAGAATTTGCTGTGAGCTTTTTTGCAGAGCCTATTTAGAGAAAATGTTCATTTTTTGTAGTTCTCCTGCCTTCTCCGTGTTTCGTCTCCCAGTAGCTTTTTCTGCCAAATTCTTTGTGCTCCCAGTGTACCACACAGTTTGTTAACCTGCAGATTGTATCTGGGCCAGCTGAGGCTAATGTGGAAGTTTGACTGACATCAACTGAGGTGCACATTAGTAATATATTAGTTCCCTTAGTGCACAATATCCTGATGTCTTGCTTGTGTCAATGCCGTGCTGAAAGAAGAGCAGTCCTCGTGGCCTGCCTTTGACGGGCAGTTTGTCCAGGTTAGGATCAGAACAAGCCCGAAGCTCTAGCGCTGCTCTCCCAGCTCCTATGGACAGCTGCGTTTGCTCGTGCATCCCAGCTGACAAGATCTTGGGGGACTGGGGAAATGTAGCTACATTTCACTTTGCCTCGGAGAAGAGGAGAACATGTGGAGCAAGCATAAAGAAACAAAAGCCATCGACATTCCTCACTGTGCCTTGAGACTGAGAGGGGGAAAAACAAAAAAAAAAGAGTGGCTGTTGAACACTGAGAAAGCTCCACTTTGTTGCCCAGATGGAGCAAAGCGGAGATGCAGAGGTGGAAATGCAGCTGTTTAATTTAGTGAGACTTTTGACAAGGAGCAAGCCCCGTCCGCTTGGCTTGAGAACCTGAAGGAACGCTGCAGCTCGCAGCCCGTGTGAGCCCTCCCGCAGCAGCCCTCTGCTTGGCTCTCCTACGGCTGCGGGGGGAGGGAGGTTTCGCTTCGCTGTGGTCGAATACAATCAATGCTTCGGTTCAGCCTTCAATTGCTCGTGCCAGTGTAGAGATTTATCACATCAGTTGAGCGGCCTGATGTTTTTACAGTTCTTGTAACAAAGCCGAGGAACTGGGTGTGTGTGTGGAATCAGAGCTATGTGAAGTACTCAAAGCAGCAAGCAGTAAGCATGAAAAAAGGGGCTACTTGTCTTTGCAACAGCCAATGAGCCTAGCTCGAGCCAGAGAGCCTTGCTTGGGGATTTAAAGCCGTGATATTGCAGACGCGTTTCTGTAGATGAGTTTGGCCCAGTGGATCCTACATGGCGTGCGTTTGGTGCAGCAATCTGTAAGTTTATCAGGGAAGAGCCAGGTCGCCTTTTCCATTGGTGCACCATTTTGAACTCTTTGGTAAACTGGAATCGCAGTGGTTTTTCTCTTTCACAAGATGAAAAGAAATTAAAAACAGAAACTGGGGAAGAGTTTTCATTGTTGGTGGGTTTTTTGCTCATTTATTGGCAGAGGTGAGTGACAAAGTGCTGCAGAGTCTCAGCTGCTGTGCCATCGGTAACGCTGTACCCATCCTGGGACACCCTAAAGCAGTCTCTGTGCGTGAGCTCTCCTGTTGTGCTGGGTGCCCTGGCCTAAAATTAGGAGAACATTTCACTTTGAAACTCTCCGACAGGCTTTTGAAGAAGAGTTTTTGTTTCTATGGACAGCATTGCAATTCTGTCAGATAAGTTTGTTCATGAAAAATAACGATAATATACTAACTATGAAGTGATGCGCTTTTTTTTTTTCTTTTAGTGATAGTTCAGTTTCTTACAGAAGTTGCAGTTCCAGTTCTTTCTTCTCCCACTCTCCTTCTAAGGATTTGGCTTTTTACTTGGGTACCCTGGATCATGGCACGGCACAGCCGTTACACCCTCAGCAGTGAGAGGGGCGAAGGCTGTACCGAGGGAAGGGGGAGCAGGGGGAGGTGGACCCAAGACCGTAATGGAAACGGGGATATAAAACACAGGAACTTCACAACTCCTTTTGGTCAGCAGAGTGCCCCTCTGTCGTCTGAAATCTCTTTGTATTCCTCAAAAGCCAGAGTTCCCTGTGGAAGGCTTGCGTGTGTGTGTGTGTCTGGGGGAGGAGGTTTGTTGCTGTAATGGAGTTCATCTGGCAAAGGTTCCTCTCCTTAGCTGAGCTCTGGTGTCACGAGGGCTGGTCGTGGCTGCCGACACGGATGCGCTTCTCTGGAGGAGGAGGACTGAAGGAACTCCCCGGGATCAGAAGACTTCTTTGGTTCTGTATTGATGGTTCTGGCCCTCTGCCATGCTAAAAAGCCTTTTTGTCATGATGAAACGGTGGAGTAAAGGTTATTGTTGCCTAAAATCCAAAATATTTGAGTAAGGATCAGGTTATAATGGATCACTGGAGACAGTAGGAGGGCTTTTTGTGCTTTTAAAAAGAGTTTAAATAGGAAGTGCGCTTTGCACTCATGCTAAATAAAACTTTTTTAAAGGATGTGTGAAGTTGTGCAAAACCAGGTGGTATCCAAATGGGACCAAGAAATGGCAAACGGTACACCACTTTGAGCACATCCCTTTAAAAGCCGTATTCCCTGAGGTCTGCTGCGGAGACCGCTGATATGGGAAGCCCGACTGTTCCTTTTGCCGGTGCCAGGAATGAAACTGGAGCATAGGCTTTATGCACTTGCATCAAATGTGCTGAACCCAGTCCTGGCAAACTGGCGAGCTTTTATATGTGACTGGAGAACAGATTGAAGCTGCCGCTGAAACTCTTGAGTACAGAAGGTCGTTATTCATCGGTCCAGTCCTCGTTATTGTGTGAGGTTTGTGCTGAGAGGGCAGAGATAAGAAAGGGCTGGAACATTCAACTGCTAAATCTGAATGGGTTTGGTGGTGTCACAAGACAGGGCATCTGGTTTTAAGCATTATTCTCTCTCTTCCCTCCGTTTCCTCCTCCAATGTACTGAAATATCTTTCCGTTGTTCCCTGGCATCAGAAATCTGGGCGAACTGATCGACAGGTTTGTGTCTGACTTCAAGGCTCAGGGTGCCCCCAAGCCCAGCGTGGATGAAGGAGGAGCCGTCCTGCCCAGCTGCGCCGACCTCTTTGTCTACTACAAGAAGTGCATGGTGCAGTGCTCCCAGCTCAGCACGGGCGAGCCGATGATAGCCCTGACCACCATATTCCAGAAGTACCTTCGGGAATACGCCTGGAAAATTCTGTCTGGAAACCTGCCCAAGTGAGTTTCGCTTCCCAAACGCTGCAGCACCGTCTGGTGAGACGCTCCAGTGAGGAGCAGATGCTTTGTAAAGAGAATGAATAAATACGTACTTGTGAACACGGTCAAAGAAACCACATAGCATCAATGCCACCGCATTTTCTTCACAATTTTCTCAGAAATTTGGTTTGTTACACTGAGAAACGGCAAGAGACGAAATGGACAGTTACGGCGTTGTTTGTGTTTTAAGGGCCCCTTGAGGATAGCTTCATATTTAGCTTTTATTAGCAGTCAGATTTACAGTTTCTTGAAGTTCCTTTTGAAATGCCAGCCCAAGTCTCTTCAGAGAGGTCTGGCTTTCAGAATTGCACTTAACCCTGCTGCTTGGGTAACAAATTCATGTTGTGATTCGTAGCTGCCTTAGCTCAACATTATGCATATAATAATTTATAATTTGTGTGATGCTAAAGTGCTTACCTCCAACTCCCTCTGCTCTGCAACATTTTATATTCATATGAATGAAATATGTAGATGTAAATCCAGTGAAAATAAAGGAAATCATTACAAGTTTGCACCAATATGGGTAAGTGTACAGGGTAAAGGAGCTCCTTGAGATATTGCCAGCCTTAACTACAGACAATTTTGTGTGCTGCTTACCATCTTCAGTTTGTTTCCCTTGTAAACCTGGGAGCAGCAGAATGAATTTCTCAAACCAGTAAAATCTTTTACAGATGGAAGAGGAGAGGGTTACATCCAGACAAGTGGAAAGATAAATTTAATGTGCATTCTCCATCAGACCTCAGTTGCATTCTTTATACACATTTTTTTGTGTGCTCCATTTTTGCTGTCCAAGATAAATATCACTGTCCTATTTTTTTAATGGATTTGGATTATAAAGAGTTGAGAGGTAGGGAATTTCCTGACTCTGAACTCTTCTGAGTCTTTCTCTGTTGATACACAGCCATTAATCACTGGAAGACGGTGGAAAGAAGCTGTATCTTCTATAATTTACTGTGTTGATATCATCGGTTTTTAAAACAGGTTACCAAAGTTTCAAATGCATGCTGACATCTGTTTGATACTGAGGAGATAACTATGACAAGCTGCCTGATAGTTACTGAGATTTGTCTGTAATCTTTAATTAGATTTTGAGTAACTGGCGGTGAAGGTGAATCTGGCTGGGGAGAGCTGTATCCCACGTGCATCCTAAGCTACCACGCTGTGAAGGAGTGAGTTGTCCTTTGCCTGAAGACTTGATACAAAGTTCTGTTCGTCTTTCTAAAAGAGATACCTTAACCAAAATAGCTGTTGTGGGTTTGATGTGGAACGACACTGACCTGTGTTGCACAGAGCAACGGACTTTGTGGTCAGGAGGACTTTTTATGGCATTGAAATCTAGGAGTAATTTTGCAGTGTTTGCAATGTGTGTCTGTACACCTGAAAGCCTTAGAAGTATTGCCTTTTTTTTTTTCCCAGGACAACTAGCAGCAGTGGTGGGCTCACCATCACCAGTTTGCTGAAAGAAAAGGAGGGGTCAGAAGTGGCGAAGTTTACTTTAGAAGAACTCTGCCTCATTTGCAGCATCCTCAGTACCGCAGAGTATTGCCTGGCGACCACCCAGCAGGTGAGCTTTCCTCTGCAGCGCCTCTGAGATGCGGCAGACGCCGTGCTGTTCCCTCTTCTGGGGTAGGCTGCTGAGGGGGCTGGAAGAGTCACAAGTACGAAAATATCCGTGGCAGTTTCTGCTCCACATAGCATCCCATTGATTACTGAGCATTATTAAATCTGTATTTCAAAGAAAGAGAAGTATTGATTTTGCCGTTCCTACCTGAGAGAAGTCATTTGCTTGTAATCCTGCTTTGCAGCATCAGTTTTGGATTCAGTCCTTTTATACTTCTTACATAATTTGTTTTGGATTGAGGATCAAATTTTTTTTTTTTAAAAAAGACTCTTCTTGTGGTTCATGACCTCCCTTTTCTAAAAATCAAGAAAAACAATTCAAAATAGGTATGGGAAAATGCTTGCGTGAAATGTTGGGACAAGGAGGTGGGAGGAGAGAAGGTGTTTATGCTGATACCCTCTGCAGCCGCAGTGCTCCTTACAATCAGGTGCTTTCAAAATGTCATAGGTTAGTAGATGAGCTGTGATGTTTGGCCGCTATCAAGACATCTCCACCAGCAGAACTGGCAATCCTCCTCCTCTGCTGTTTGGGCACAGACAGGGTGTTGGAAAACATCTTTATTAGCGGGACAGGTGCCACGGTGCTAAGCTAGTGTATTAGCATGCCGTACTAGAGTTACATATACGACCTTGGAGGTTACTCGTTTGAGGACGCAGTGCCACCGTAGGCCATCCTGGCAGATGAAGATGCCTACGGTGCCCAACAGGGAGAGATTTCCATTGTTCACTGGCTGAGTTTTGGATATAATCTGGGCACAGATTAGGTTTTAAGAAGCTGACTTTTCCAGGACATAGGTTTTCAAGACTGGTTGTCTCAAGTAAGAAATCTGATCTTTCTGTTGCTTGTTTTGTTTCCTAACAGTTGGAAGAAAAACTCAAAGAAAAAGTGGATGCAAGTCTAGTGGAAAGAATCAACCTGACAGGAGAGATGGACACTTTCAGCATGTATGTTCAGCAGATGCATCCTCCCAGAATGTATCAAACATCCTAGTTTGTCAGCCAGATGGTGCTGGAGTAATACAAGCCCAAGATCCTGGTGTCGTAGGACCCACCCAGCTACGCAGCCTAGGCATAGGCATTTCCCTGGTGAAGGGATGGCCACCCTCCGGCTAGTCCAAGAGCAGCAGTAGTACGAAGTTCAGATGTAGTTGTTCCCCATCATCCTAGCCAAAGGAACAAGAGCACTGGAAAGGGGAAAGGAAACAATGAGTTTCCATTTGAAACATCATTTGCATCTTGGCAGCTCTGTGAGGTGGCTGTTACATTTCAAGAAAGGAAGCTATTTCAGTACATTCCTTCCTGCTTTAACTTCCCACTGTTAATCAGCAGCCTTGTCAGTATGATCAAACCCCATTTCAGATGACATAAAAGAATGATCCGATCTTATATTTGGGGATTATAATTCAGAGAAGATTATGATTCATTAAAATAACTTTTCACGTAACGATGCTAAAAATATTCCACTCTAACATCCTCTCCTCTCCACCACTGACAAACAGATTGAATATTTTTTGAGAGAAGGAAATCGAGGCAGAAAAATAATTGGTTTGCCTCACATCAGACAAAAGAAAACCTTGGCAAAGCTGGGAGAATAATCCAAATCACCAGCTCTCCTCCCTAAAACTAAGATTCAGCCCGGATAGCTGTAAGATTTTTTTCAGAAAACTTCCTTCCTGTGATTCCTCCTCTCTCGCTCCAGTGGGCAGGATCCCACTGAATCTGCATCCAGGTTTTTCACATGGTCTCGGGTTCCATTCCAGGTTGCAGAGACTCCCTTCCCTTTAGATATTTCTCAGACCTGTTCAAGAGTGAATCGCTGACCGAAAGCTAGGGTTGCTGTGTTCCCCTAAGCCAAAGCAAGCAAGGTAGCTAGGCAGTAGAAATAAAATATGCTGAATGATGGATTTTTCTTAACATGGACAAGTTGAGGGTGAGTTTTGCATTTTCTTGTGACCTGTCCAGCAGGAGCCAGCTACCTCGAGTCACTGCTCAGTTCCACAGTGGCTGCCTTGTGAGGTGGTTGGTTGTAGGCAGCCGGTATGATGTGCTTTGGAAATTGTTTAAATGTGTAGTTCACGTTTGCCGATTTGGACAGCTTTAAAGTTAAGCTGACAGGCCTGATGTATCTTGTAACAAAGGCTTTTTAATTGACTTTCAGTCTGTTCCAGTATAGCGCTTGGTCCAGTCTTCTGTCAGTGTAAGTCATAGCTACAAACCTCTCTGGCGTTTGCTCATTCAACATCAAACAAGTTGTTTCTTCTGGGATTTGATGTCTTGTTAGGCACGGTCGTAAAGAAAATGATAAAACGTGGCTGCTTACACACCCTGAGAAGCATTTCTTCCTTCGTGGGAAGGAGAGTGCAGGACCACCCCAAATGCGTATAAAGTGATCAGCTCGGAGTGGGGGGGTGGGGGTACCCCTGGGGTGGCTAAGCATTTTCTTTAGGGAACGTGGAAAAGATAATGAGCTCTTCTTGAAGCTCAGCAGAAGGAAAACTATTGTCATGTCAATCCAGAAGTCCATGATTCCCACCCCCCTGCCCTATTAATCTGTTGTGAGATTACGGGCAGCGTTCAGAGACCCCTTGATGTCCTGAAACACTGAGCTTACTACAGTAAGCGCTGAGCTTAGTACATACTTACTATGCTTCTCATTTATGGCCTCAGCTTCTGTCAGGGATCGTAGGAGGATTCGTTAACTGCCGCTGAAGCACTGTTACGTGCTGCCCAGGGCAAGGTTTGAAGTGGCTCCTAGCAGAACCAGGATCCAAGCCCTCCTGGCACGTCCTGATGCTTTGTGTTTGCAATGGGCTGCTTGTTGCGCTGTTACCCCTCTACAGCAGGGATTCATTTTGAAGTGTAGACAAACAAGTTTCTCTCCCTGTTTGCAATCTTGTGGTTTTTAGGCGAGATCTTGTACGTGGTGACCCCGCTTCGGACAGACTCCTGACACGTGGACACTAGTGGTGAAGTCCCTGCCTCCCACTGAGAGGGCTGCGTTTCGTTTTGGTGCTGAACCACAACTCTTTCCTACGGGCAGCTGCTGGCAGCTGCTCGTAGTAGTAGTCAGTAGTCAGCTGTGCCCAGGAGACGGTTATTTCAGTTTGGAGCTGGTGGAATCCCCCGAGGGAGTAAATCCTGTGGTGCCCAGCAGAAGTAGAGGCACCAGCAGAGATGGTCACAGGCTTTTCTTATCCCAATGCAAGTTTCAGATCGTGTAGCTTGAAGCCGGTAGTTGCTTCGTCTCCCATACTAATGTTTCCAGCTGATTTTGGATGAGTTAGCCTTTACAGACAAATTGATTGCTCCGAAGGAACAGTCTTCTACTGGGCATCCTGTTCCAGTCTTTATGTGCTAAAGCTCTGGGAAAGGGAATAGACAACCTCTGTGGGTTGTGGTGAAGAGCAACACCCAGATCCCAGCAGTAGAATTCGGTTAGCAGGTGGACACTTGAAATATTTTGAATAGTGAACTCCAGAGTAGTATCCAGAACTGCATGAAGACAACCAGTGGGAGGAAAGATGGCTTGAGGAAGCATTGGTTGGATTCGTCACGGATCTGTGATTCCCATCTGTGCTACCATCATGAGAAAGAGCAAAAGTAAAATCCAGTTTTTGCATATATAATCCCAAAGTCGTAAACAGGCATCTGTGGCAGATTAAAAGTTTACACTGTTTTTAAAAACTGCACTTGCTTAGTGAAACACAGCCATGTACTACTTCTAGCAGAAGTCGTCTGTGGTGCGAGTCCTGCGTTACGTGCCCTTGAGGGTGGTCCCAGCTGCTGCAGACAGTGTTTCTCGGCTGTTGTTCTAGGATTGGTTGCACCTTTATGCACATCGTAATATGGCGGCATCAAATATGTCTCTAAACAATATCGTGCTGTTTAAAACAAAAGAGGGGAGGGAAATGTGTTTGACTGCTATGTCCTTTAGTCTGGTCTATGTCCCTGAGAAACTCAGGCAATGGATGGCGGCAGTCCTAGGCAGAGTGTAAATAAGATGATCTGCCTTCATCTTCTCGAGTGGGAGACGCATTCAGAACTCATACAGAGGTACTTTTAAAAATCCTCTCAGCAAGTTTCGAAGAGTAGTAGAATATTGACTGTGAATAAGTGGAGAGATGATAAAATGCTAGTTTTATGCAGACTGGATCAAATTTGAAGTTGAATTCCAGTCTGGGCTTGGTACTTGGGGTTTCTCCTCTTCCTGATGCGAAGGTGGGGGTTACCCCATCTGACACCTTTGATCTCCAGCCCCTTCTATGTGTTTAAACAGAGAAAATTCAGCTATAAGAATGTCCTCTCTACGCTAAAGCCCATGGTGCAGCTCCCTGATGAACAGCATGCAGAACTTCCCGGCTTCTTTTCAGTACCGATTTTCACCATGTGTGTTCACAGCGTAACGCTGCTGTCAGCTCGTGGATGATTTTCCTCCGTTCACGATCGGGTACGCCAGCTCTGGCGCTGCGTTGCTGAGTCCTGGGCTAAAACTCACGCTTGGTGTTTTTTGCAGTGTGATCTCCAACAGCATACAGCTGTTAGTGCAGGACCTGGATGCAGCCTGTGACCCTGCCCTGACTGCTATGAGCAAGGTAGGGGCTGGATTTGCTGCGGGAAGAGGGAGCCTCGGGATCCCTGTGGAGTTTGTTTGCTTTGATTGCTTGATTTCACTGTTGACATGTCCTTTTACGCTGCCTTGAGACTTAGCCATGTATTGATTTCTTCTTGCTTCTTAGAGCAGCAGTTGCTGTATTTATAAATATTTCCTTCACTCCAAAACCTCTTATTATTCAGATTGGAGCTTTCATTCTTTTGCAGCACTTGAAAACACACAGACAGTGAAATACTTTCTGTAAGTACTCCTAATGCCAGTGAGAGCCTTTAAAATTGGGAAAACTTCTGTTAGCATGAAATTTCACATACACATTCTCGTTTGCTATTCTCTGTGTGTTCTTTGACAAGGAGTTTTTCTCGTCTCTTGTTTGTGGCAGTTAAATGGAGGTACTCAAAGGGTAATATGGACCTGAGACTGAGCCCTGTTGCCCCTGTGATCCTCTCAGGGACGTATGGGGCCGTTCCTAGAGGCCCGTGTGATTAGCACTTCAGGCTTGTGTTGCAGTTCCACTGCTGGCTTTTATACGTTTGAAATGCAGAGCTGTGTTTTCTTGCCAAAGTATTGTGAAAACCCAGACTGCTTTAGACAGAGGTGAAGACAACAAAAGTGGATTGAACTATTTTTTTAATTAGAAATATTAAACATAGAGCTCCATTTTTGTAGGATCAACACACTGTCTCGCTGCCATGGATTTTAATAGCTTGCTGCTTTATGATGTATTCCAGCTGTAACTAGCCCCGCCACCCCCAGCTAATATTTGAAGTGGAATGCAGCTGGTAACAGAGCTTGTACGTGTTCCAAACGAGAGGAGGATTTTTTTGCCCAGTAAAATAACACGGTTAGGAAGGGCTCGGCGCTTCAGGTGGTGTGTGTGTGGCGTGCCAGTTCCTGAGATCTCCTGCACTGACGTAGCGTGGTAGTATTTGAGTCGCTTAGCTCTGGCTGTTTATACCCAAGTAAACCACAACCTTCAGAAAGCAGCAGCTGGTAGGCCATTTATTTTTGTCTTTGGAACACTGGTAAAATGCAGCACGTGATGGGACTGATGATATATAAACAAGTGAAGTGTTATGAAATTTGCTAAATAAATACTTGTCACTTGTGCACACATTCCACTGTTTGCATCAGACCGAGTCGCTTTTATGTGATTTTTACTAGACCTGGGTTTTGTGCAAGAGTTCTTTTCCTTCACCTTCCTCCTCCCTTTGCCTCGGGGCTGGGTTGTTACTGTGACAGTTGAAAAAGAAATGCATATAATTATTTAAACGCAGGATTAGTATTTGGAATTCTAAAATTTAGGTCTGTATTAGCGGTGTAAAGACTGCGTGGCTGATCCGTTGCAGTTTTCTTGTACTGGGAAGGCAAGTCTGTCTCAAAACCCCTACTCCATCAGGGCTCCTCCTTTGTTTAACTTCTTTTCATTTACTTCACTCTGGTGTCCTCCAAGGCTGAACATTCCTAGTCCTTTGTTGGAGTTTGGCTTTTTTTTTTTTCCCTTGCAAAAATGTTCAGGAACTATAGAGGTAAATTAAGAAATGCTTAAACCTCTAAATCCAGTTTGGCTGCAGGCCACTGTGAGAGGTTTAACACAGCAAACAGCATTGTGAGTGTTGCTTTCAGCTGGGAATGGTGCTCAGTTTCCCTGATTATTTACCTTGTGGGTTCTGGAAGAAATGGTAATGACGAGAAGGCCCCATATTACAGAAGTTGTAGGTGATAATCTTTCCTCAGACTCTACGGCAGGTGTAGAATGATTAAACATGGCTGTAGGACGGGGAGCTGGGATGTGGAGTGGCAGAGGAATTTGCCCTAAACCCCTGTTGTCATATTCTGGATAACAAAGTACTGTGAATGTCTTGTACTGATCTGTAGCAGGCGCTTAAATTGCCTGGTTTGCTTAGTTTTTAATTGGTGGGATTAAACAATTTTAATTGTTTAGTTTTTAATTGTTGATATAAGGGAACTGCTAATCTGCATGGGATATTTTCGCCCCAATTAAGTTTATGGATTGCGCTGGATAAGGCTTGATTTACTTGCTGAATTAAGCATCGATTTATATGTAAAACTGTACTTCTGAAGGAGGCTGGGGGACATTTTAGTGACTCATGTCGATCGCTTGCTGTTTTTTTATATTTTTGCTAAAACCTTTTGGCACAGCTGCAATTTCCGACTTCCTTACAATGGAGTGGACAACAGCAAGCGCTTCAGCCTGGGGCTCGGTTAATCTCTCCGATACATACAAAGAAAATCCCAGGAGCAGAGCAATCAGAGCTGCCAGCTGCTAATTAAAAGTCAGTGTGAGTGCGTTTTAGCTGTCAAACAAGGTGCAGCATGCAACAGCGCAACCCAAAACTCGCGTCGGAAAACAACGGAGGCAGTTTCGAAGGCAGCAGCGTCCGCTGCCTGCAGCAGCCGCCGGCTTCTCCTTCCCTTGCCGCTGCACGAGCAACGCGAGGTCGAGGGAGAAGGGGCTGGCCCGGCGGTTACAGGTGCTCCTGGTGCCAGGCCGGAGCCCGTGGCGATAAGCTGGTGGTGGGATGCTGCTGAGCACGGGGAGCCTTGGAGACTGATTCATCCACCATCGAACCACGAAGCAGCCCCTTTAGTTAGAGGCCCACGCTAGTGCTGGCCATGGACCTGGCGGTCCCTGGTTTGGCCCTGCCACCTCCCTCCCGGCTCTGTGGGGACACAGGGATGCTTGGGGACATGGGGACCCCCAGCTGGGCAGACCTGGGAGCGCTCTCGAGCCCCGCTGGACCCAGAAGGTCGTGCAGCTCTTGTTAGGTGCCAGACCAGCCCAGTTTTGCTCAAGGTTTCTCTCTTCTCCTCTCCTTTTAAAGAAAGCACGCGATAATCTTGAGGGCCATGTGTTTTTGTTGTGAAAACCATCTCTGAAGGGAGCACCAGGTCTTCAGACCCGGGTCGAGCCCGTGCGGGCGGCCGCGTCGCCCCGGGTGCTGGGGTGCTGGTGCCGGGGCACCCCGTGCCCTGGGTCGCTCCCTTCGGCCAGCGAGCGCGAGGCCTCGCTGCCTCTGGCCTTCGGGCTCGTTTTCAGCTCGTGTATGTAAACTATGTGGATGTCCCAAGAAAAACATAGGACGAGAGAAAAAGAGGAATAAATTTAAAATGACAGGAACAAAGCTTTACCAGAAGAGCTGGGCTCATATTTCTTTTGATGACTTTTCAGTATGTGTACTATTTCTTTCATTGCAGCTACTGGGTTTTTTTTTGGGTGAAACACACCCACGTACACACACAAAGGGCTATTTTTACTGTTCATGCTTTAAAGGTTTGGTTGTAAAGTATTGCTTTTGGAATGAAGACCAACAAAATGAAAAAGCTACTGTTTTATTGTTGTTGCAATAATTCAACTCAGCAGTCCCTTCCCGCTTTCTGGCCGTTCCTGCCGCGTGGGGATGGTGTGTCGGTTGAGGATCGCTGTCTGTCACGAAGGGCCGGCGCTGGGAGTGTGCGAGGCCGGCGGGAAGACAGGCAGAAAGCATTTCCTCGGGTCTGACAAGCACCAGGAGGAGTAGCAAAGGAGTTGTCTCGTGAGCAGTCTTCCAAATGAAAGTAAGATGGAAAGAAAGCCCGTAGAGCAGACAATGAGAGGGATGTCCCTGCTAGCTGCCCGGGTGATGCGAGATGAGCAGGTTGGGGTTTTGTTTGTCTGGTTTAAATAAAGACAGCCTTGGTAGGACCCGTGTAGGCTCCCTCAGACACACTGTGGTTTTGCAAAGAATTTGGCTTCTCTTGCCCATTAAGTCACTTAGGCTGCATGTCGTTTGGATGGAATCAAATCAGCTGGGTTGCAGTTGACAAAGTAGCCATAATTAAATTAAAATCAGGAATAAAAAAACCTTACATGCAAAATCCAGAACTTGAGAAAACAAGTTTGGGGACAAACACTCCCTCAAAAGACAAAGCTCATCTTCTGTGTGTGCCCGGTTTCCTATCCTGATTTCGTATCTGGTTTCCTCCTGTTTCATCTCCAGCGTGAGGAGCAGCATCTCCAAACCATCAGTTGGAGCACATTGCAGAGCGCGTAGCGTCTGAAGGTAGCAGAGCTGAGAGCACTTTTCTGGGTGCTCGTGTTCCTCAGTCAGACCTTGTTATATACGCAGATGCTTGGCCAGGCCTTACCCAATTACCTCTCTCCTTTTTTTTTTTCGCGTGACTGACACTGTGTACTCCCTGTGTACTGCAAATGAGGCTTAGAGAAAGTCGAGGGAGTCGCGCGTCTGGCTCAGAGGTGCTATTCTGTTGCATTTCTACCAGCGGTAAATGAGAACAACGTGGGAGGTTGAGTAGCTCTTCTTGTTTTACATTTTTTTTTACGTGTGTTTGTGATGAGCTGAAGTTGCCATCTTACCTTGTGCACCAGAAATGTTTTCAGTGTGAGCTCCACTGGTGTAGAGTGCTTTGGACTTTAGGACTATTTCTACCTCTTCCATCTATCTGTCATCAGTCTCACCAGTATTAAAGTCTTGGCTGCCATACAGGAATCTAGATTTTGCAAGCTTGCAGATATTTTCTCAAATGCCCGTAATCAGGATTTATACGGGCACTTCATCCTGGCAAACTGGAAACTGTTAAATGTTAAGGCAGCCTGGTGTGCTCCAAAAACCTTTTTAATCCTAGTGGTCCCAGTTTGTGTAGGTTACCGGTCACAATCCCTCTCTGTTCTGGTGCAAAAAGGGCCGTTCTGGGTTTTCTTTGTATCTTGTTGTGGAAGGGTTTTGCTCCATCAGTGTAGTGACGACAAACTTGTCCTTGGTGGTGCATTGCAGAGGCAGTCTCTTGATGATTCCTTAGAGATCTTTTGGCAGGAAGTTTTGTACAGTTTTCCTTACCTATTGCTTGAATCTTAATGAATTAAACAGTCTTTTTGGTTGTTTTTTCCCCTTTGTGCAGATGCAGTGGCAGAACGTGGAACACGTTGGTGACCAGAGTCCTTATGTCACCTCAGTGATTCTCCACATCAAACAAAACGTCCCCATCATCCGCGACAATCTGGCCTCCACGAGAAAGTATTTCACTCAGTTCTGCATAAAATTTGCAAAGTAAGTTACCAGCGTGGCGCAGAGTTTATCGAGGTCTCTGGTTCTCACTGGTCTCTTTGTACCTGATAATCTGTTTGCTTTCTAGCGTGCAGCTTCGGTGACTGTTGGTGTCTGGGTGCAGACCCTCCATCCAGAGAGGGGTAGGGCAGCAAACACCACCGGCTGCTGGCAAGGTTAAAATACTTTTCGAGTTTCCTACCGAGGCAGATTTTCTCAGATATTTGTATTGATTGGTTCCCCCTTACGTACCTAAACCATCCCGTAAAATATTGTGATGATCGCTGTCTGCTGTTTGCCAAGTACAGAAGGTCTTGGCTTGGACATCTTTAAAGGGCTTTGAACGTCTGACAGTAGATGCAACTCTTGCTACGGCAACCTGCTTTCCTTCCAGGGATGGGGCTGCGGTGCCTCGGGGTACTGAGAAGTTTGGTGCATCGTTTGCCTCAAAAGAACTTTTATGGGAGCTACAGCACTGTGAGGAGGGCACGTCTGATGAGTGTATTCTGCCTTCACAGTCTAAAAGCTGCTTTTCTGTGCCAAAATAGTTCAGTAAAGAGGAGAAATAAACATTCAGGTCTTGGGGGATATTGCAAGTGTCTTCCTGGCGAGTCACTTAAAGCTGAGCAGCAGGAAGAACTGAGTGAGGAGACAGAAATGCCTCTTGCCTCTGAATTCGAAGTTGAGGGTGCAGCTCTCCAACATCTGTTGCACATCCAAACTTTGAAGCGATGTGTCTGAAACAAAAATTCATGTCTTTGGGAAGAAACTTGGAACTCTTCCCTGCTTGCCTGTGGCCAGCTGAGCTTTGCATGCCAGTGCCCCAAGAAAAACCCTCAGGAGGACTCTGCCAATTGTAGCTGCTGCTTTTGGTGTTGCATGTGGCTGTGCTGCTGGACTTGGGAGCAGCACTGTGCATATCGTGTGTCACTCTAAAATACCTTAATGTTTCATTCATCTGTAATAAGCTAATCCTCCTGAAATAAACTGTGTGGCCAGGCAGTTACTGTGGGGTTTGAGCCCGGAGCCTGAGCAGGGCAGGGTGCCGCGGGCTCTGCTGAGAATGCTTCGCTCTCGCAGCGGGGAGGCTGGCCCGAGAGCTGCGTTCCCCCGTCTGTCTCAGGGTGCTCGTTAGCTGGCATTAAGGAGCAGTTACTGAGAAGTCATGACGTTGCCCATAATCACTGGTTGAAATGCCGTCTCAGTGAAAATTTATTGCACTTAAGCCTTCTATGTGGTTACGGTTGAATTTTATATCACTAACATGGTGATAAATAAAAAAGCCCATTTACTCAGCTGTTCGCAGCACGCAGCTCTTAATACCCCAGCTTAGTTGCCTCCCTTTTAACTTTATTGCTAAGCACATACCAAGTAAACTCCAGATAAAATACCCAGCTCTCACGTTTGAGAAAAATTCACATCTAAGCCGAGTGCCTTCGTCACAGGTTGTTCCATAGAAGAGCATAGAAACCTGCAAAGCTACCGCTCCGCTTCAAAACCTTTTTTAAGACAACTGCAGCTCTGATCTACAGCACATTAGAATTAAGACACAGTCCTGAATTTGCTGTGTCATGGATCAGATGCAGAAGTGAAAATTTGTTTCCTGAATATTGTTTTTGCTGGACCGTATTTAGAGTCCTTCTGTACAACTTGATTTTAAGGAGAACTAGCCCAGTGGTAAGGCTGGACTGACCTACGCAAAGCGCTTAGGACATTTTAATGCATACAAACATTTGTATTTTTGAAGCTCTGAGTTCTGATGGTACGTGCTGGCCTGCCCAGTATAAATACCTGGCCTGTTGTGTGCTGCACAACACTGAAAATTCTTTTAACAGGCGTTGTGCTGCTCCGTATGTTAATGCCTGTATCTTTTTGAACTGCCAGCCGCCTCTCGCTCTAATGGATTGTATAAAGCGCCGGTGTTGAGTTACAGGACCACAGGGGAGAAGGCATCTAAAGTCACTAAATTTAAAACTGAGGGATCTGAGCCAACTCTGCAAGAAGAAAAATGGCCATCAGGAACTGCATCAATCCTCTAAAGTAATTTGTCATTTTTGCTTTGTTTTGACCAATATGCAAGCCTCAATCCCTTGAAATCGTGAGAAGCAGCCGGCTTTCCGGGACGCACTTGCAGGCAGGGTGAGGGGCTCTCTTCTCGCTGCATCTTGGCCCTTATCCTTTGAAATCAAAAACCATAGCGGTGAAGCTGTGACTGCTACACCGGGATGTGTTTGGGAAGTCTGTGACCTGACCTCAATGAGGAAGAGATTAGAACCGAGAGACAGGAAAAACAAACAGCTCTCCCCTCGCCAGGAAAGCACCTCGTCCATCACCAGCGGCCAAGCGCGGTGGGTAACTGCAGCTGGAGTCCTCCCGGTTGCTCGGGCCTCTGCTTCGTGCCTTTAGTGAGAGGAGTTGGGTGGAAGAAGGTCATGATGAGGAGGCTCCTGGAGGTTTTGAAGCAGCGGCTGGGCTAAGCCCAGGCAAGCCTGCAAGGGCTGGTTGCTGCCTCGGAGGGCGGCGTAAAGCAAAGCCCTTCTCGGCTGCGGTGACTCAGTGACACCAGGATGCTTGGAATGATGTCCTGCAGCATCTCATCTCCCGTGGACAGACTGTGGTCACATCTCTGTCTGCCTTGCTCAGCAAGACATTGTGTTTCATGCATCATCAGGGCAGGGGATTAGGAAAACACAGGCTTTGGCAGAGCCCCTCCCGTTGGATGGGAGCCCCTCAGATGCTGTGGTTTCTGTGCTTTAGGTTCCTAATCTGTCTTGCACTGCTTTATTATTACGCTGGGGACTTGTCTGCTCCTATGGAGGGTGTGCTGGATTCAGTTTTATAGCCCAACCTGTAAATGAATTCTGGCATCCAGTCTAGCTCTGTGGATGTGCAGGGAGTAAAGGCATTTAGAGTACAAAACCGCGTGCAGAGCATTACCATTGAATACGCACGTATTATTCGCATCGGGATTGCCTGCTGTATGCTAGGAGAGCCAAGCATTGAGTCCAGCCCAGGCAAGAGACTCAAGTGAATTTTTCATTTAAGTGCAATTGCTCTTAATGGACTCTGCTATTAAAAAAAAAAAAAAATTAAAAAACACTGGAGCAGCCCTTGGATCTTATGATTTGCCTGGTCTGTCCTGCTGGAGTTGAGAAGCTGTTTCCAATAAGGCAGCGTGAAATAACAGGCATGTGGGGATGGAAGGTTGCTTTACCCTTCTGCACTGATTGTGGGTGGCCATCCTGAGGAGCCTGGGAATCGTTTCATGCAAGACAGAATGCTGCCTATGGGAGACCATGTGGTTAGATAGAAAAGAAGATTTAAAAAAAAGAGAGGAGGGGGTTCTTTGCCTGCCAGTCTGCTGCCCTGCAGAAGGAAAGGTTTGCCCTCTTTCGCATACGCAACACGAGCGTTGCCTCTGCACCTGACCTCGCAGAGAGAGGGAGCCTTGGACCTACGTGCCAGATCAAAGGTACAATTAATCTCTTGTGTTCTTCCGCTTGTAGCAAGCTGCTGCATCCAGAGCAGACTGATCATTTTATAGGATCACCTAAGCTCCAGCGGGGCTTGGCACTCTCTAATTGCCCTCAGGGAATTAGTTATACACCTGAAAAATGGACTTGTAAAGCAGATAAGTAACATCTCTGCTGTAATGCTTTCATGCAAAAGGAGACAGGGCTTGTTTTCCTCCTTTTATTTATGTTTTGTTGCCAAGGTTGTTTCTCTGGTGGCCAAATTCGAAGCTGTTTGGGGCAGCCCGGTAGCTGGTTCTCACCAGCAGTCTGAAATTGTTCTCTTTGACGCTTCTCCAGGAAGAGATGATTCACTGAGAGAGGTCGTGGCTGTGTCTGGGGAAAGGGGAAGGGAAGGAGCCTTTGCTTGGAAGGACTCTTCCTTGAACCATTTCTTTTGATTTGCTCAGCAGCTTGGCATGCTCTGTGCCTGAGTTTTGTCATTCTTCCATGAGAAAGGGCAAAAAATAAATGTCCTGGCTTGGAAAACAGGTGGCAGGACAAACAAGATGGTGTCCATGCTCCTTGCTTGGTGGGAAGGAAAGAAATAGCTTGACAGATGCGAGGGGGAAACCACGCTGAATTTAGATCACCACCATAAACGGTACCTCATTCAAAAGGACAGAAAACAGACGGACTTGGATGAACTTAGGACAGAGCCATTAAAACCTAAGACCTGCCACCAGGTCACGGACACGGTCCTGGAAACGTGAGCTTTGTAGGCGTTCAGCCAAAGAAGGCCGTGTGAGAAAAGCAGAATACATTAAAAACAAGGCGGCAAAAGGAAGACAAGAGTGTGAGTGGTGTGGTCCTGGCAGACGGAGTTTGCGTTGCTCACGCCGGCCCCTCTCTTCACGTTCAGCTCCGGGGTTTTCCTAGTGCTGTACCTTGGCAGAGTGGCTGGGGCAGGAGCTGGTCTTGCAGGTGCTCAGCCAGCGCTTCAGCTAGCAGGGAGCATCTGCTTCTCCGCTGCAGAATGCAACCACTGCAAAGCCTAAAATCAAGACGCAAAAAGCTAAAGCCAAAGCTGGTGCTCTGGAGTACATTGTCTAAGGTGACCTATATTGGGCTTCCATCCTTGCCACATTCTCCCTGTTTGTGTGTAGGGACCTTAGTCATTTTTCTGAGTCTGAACTTCACGTTAGTAAAACAGGGTGATGGTGTTTTCCTTTTCACAAAACTTTTTCTTGTCTTGATTGTGTTGGCTGGAAGCTTGCTGGAAGAGTGCCTTTCTGTGTGAGTGTCCAGGGCCCAGCAGACCTCCAGCCTTGGCTGGACCTCAAGTTCAGTGTGTAATATGCATGTTATGGAATTACTAGTATGCAGTAAAATGTAGGTTCTGGATTCAGTCAAGATACTCCTTTCCATGAATAGCTATGCTAATCCTGGCGTGTTGCTGTTTTTATTATGTACAATAGTTTGTTTGCTTGTTCTTGACCTTGTACTGTAATGCTTCATGTATACTTTATAGCAATTTATTACATAGAGTACGTGTGCAACTTCTCAATTAACTTAGAGATCAGTATGGAGTAAAGCAAAAGATTTGTACCTAGGTTTGGTTTGTTTGTTATTTAGTATATTTAATGTGACTGGAGTCAGCTTGAGAACCAGGCACTTTCAGTGTGTTTGTGGAAAGCCGTCCTGGGTTCGTTTTGCATGCTTGTGACCACAGAAGACTCTGTGGCTCCAAATACTCACATGTAATTGTGTCATTTTCTCTCTCCTTTGCAGCTCCTTCATTCCCAAGTTCATTAACCATCTCTTCAAGTGCAAACCTATTAGCATGGTGGGCGCAGAACAGGTAGGAAAAAGTAATTGCATTGGCTGTATTATTTCAGCACTTTTGGGTTCGAGAAGTCGAGGCAGTTTTTGTTAAAAAGGGGCGGAGAGCTGAGTTACGTGTCCTGAGATCTGGTACGGCTGGGGCAACACGAGCACACGCTGGTGCAGTGGGGTGGGAGCGGGTTTGTAGTGATCCTGCCACAGCAGAGGGGTCCTAGGCACCTCCCCAAGCAGGGGAACTCTCATTTGCCAGTCAAAGTAACACTAGCGCAGGAACAACAAACCTCTTACGGGCCTCTCGAAGGTGCCGTGGTGAGGCTGTCCTCAGTGTGCTCACACAAAGGCAAAGAAAGTCACTCAGGACAGAAACTGTTGGAAGAAGCTCCCGTGTCCTTGTCGGGAAGCCTTCTTTTTCTGTCCCATCCTTTCGCAAAATAGGTCATGACTCAGTCTCACTCTGCTACGGCTGTGCCTTCTGCCAGGGTTAAACTCAAGCCTGTTGGTTCTCTGCTCAGAGGAGCTGGGGCACGGTCAATCCATGGTCGGTAACAGGAAAACTTTACCAAAGAAATCCCCAAACCCCCAGCCCAAAAGACCCAGGTGTCCAGGCAGTTTCTCAGCTCAGGTAGTTTAAACACCAAGACTTTTTTTTGTAAGTGTTGCACATAAAACACCCAGTGCCTGGTCTCACATGACAGTGTGTGTGCCGAGAGCAGGTTGGTTCCTACACATTCCCCACGCGGGGCCAGTGACGGCGATGTCCGGCACCACGTGCCGGTGGTGTCAGCGTGCCAGCCCTCCAGCGAAGCGACACCAGACCCTCCCGGGGGCTAAGCGTGCTGCTCCCGGGGCTGGCACCTTGCTCTCTGGGGAAGCGAAGCTGTGGGAGCCCAGAGGCTCCTCCGCAGCCCGATGGCAGTTTCGCTACAGCCTGTGTCTTGGCTGATTTCCAGTGAGTGCAGGTAGATTTTTGTCTCCTCCGATTTGCCTGCTAGTTATGGATGGTTGCCGTCTTTCTCTCCTTCGAGCTATGCGGGGAGGATGGGGTTGTGGAGGCGTAGTGCAGTGTTTTCTCTGTTCTGTCCCAAAAATTGCTAAACAGAGGTCCTGGGTTTGGTGGGAGTTTTGAATCTCGCTAGGCGAGCGGTGCTGCCGTGCCTTCAGACAGGACGGTCTCTTTCCTGCATAAATGGCTTCCAGGCCTCGCCTGCTCAGGCATTGCAGACAGACATCGTAACCCTGCTGCGTGGCGGGGACGAGCCGTCTCCACCTCTGCAACTCGGTAACGGAGACCCAGGGAAGCGACGACCCAACATCTGGGGTTCAGGGCTGCTCAGGACTCCCCAGCTTGCTCCCAGGAACCTCTGCCTCCCTGTTGTGCTTTCAGAGCGCTGTAGACACTGCAAGATGGTGAGACGTGATCTCAGGGAAGGAAGGAAGGATGCTGAATTACTGCCACTTGAATTAATGGACACGTTTCTGTCAAAACGCTGTCCCTTGACAGGAGCCCCATCCCCGAGTTGCCCATGGGTGGGCAGCACAGGGTGTTTACTACCTTGAGACCATGGGTGCAGCTGAAGGGCTGTGACCCCCCGTCTGCCTGTGGGCTGGGACCCCCCCTGCTCCGTGAGGATGAGGTTTGGATTAGGCAGGCTTTCAGCTGTCCCCTGCACATCCAGCAGCTCCCCTGTGGGCTGTTTAAAAAGAAAAAAGAAGCAGAATAATCCCTAATGGGACTGCTGCGATCTTCAAATCTGTGCCTTAAAAGCTGCTTGGGTTTTAGGCATCAAAGATGGGTTCTGACCAGTGTGTGTCTGCGAAATGAAACAGGAGCTTTACATCAAAACCTCCCTCTTTCTTAATGGAAAGCAAATGAGCAAAGCGTGGTTCCTGCTCATCTTGTGCGATGAGCAATAACCCGAGAGTGATTAAATGAAGTCTTATTTTAAATAAGCATCTAAAGTGATTAGCTGGTTGCCAGCAGTGGGCTTGTGTCTAATCTTAAAGGTTTTACTATTATTGTATTGGAATAACAGGCCTCATTTGGTGTCTAAAGCTGACTGGGAGGATTTTCATTAGCCTGATTCACAGTGGGTACATCTCTTAAGTGGGACGTACCTTCCTGGGGTTAGATGTACAGAGGCCTTCAGGAGCTGGTCTCCTCTGTCTCTGCAGCGTGTAGGTCCTCAGTTGCCTTAGCGTGTTTTGAACAACCCCCTGGTCACCCCCCGGCATCTTTCCATGCCGGTTTCTCTCCCCTGGTGCAAATGTTGCTATGGAATGCACGTTCCCGACCTTTCTGGTCCTAAACACAGTTTTTCCCACTGTTTTCAAATGTGATTATTAGCAGTCTGGACACTAGGGTGGTATTTACAGAGGTGTTCAGCATGGGGAATGAGACCTATGGGGCTCCACTTTCTGTGTTTGTCTCTCTGACTTAACAACAGTTCTCCATCTCAGCAGGTTTTGGCATGGAGTTAGCAATGCCAGGGACCTGGAACGGGTAACGGGGGGAAGTAAAAGAGGGGACAGAGCCTGCGAGTGCTGCGTCTGTGGGAAAGGCTGCAGATTGCACAAGGCTCCTGCTAGACATGAGAGAGCTTATGTGGGAAAGATGTGAATTCCCCAACCGTGGAAAAATCTTCCGTCTGTGGGATTCCTCGTAGACATGCAGGAATCCAGCTACAACAGCCTGAACTGCCATCAGGCTCCAGCAGCTCCGGGGTGCGCAGAGCTGCTCGTTTGTGCTGTGGTTTCCTGGCTTCCCAGGACGGGATTGATGGCATCGGTTCATCTCGTGCAAGCCGTGAAACGGGCAGCACACAGCAATGATACGCTGCCGCAGATAACAGGGTCCAGATTTGAACTGGCGCAACCCACCGCTCCTCCGCTCGGCTCAGCCCTTTGTATCTGGGCTGAATTCCCACGTGTGCAGAAAGCAGTGCCATAAATGTTCATATGGTTCGTGGTGACAGCTGGGGGTTCTGCAGTGACCGTAACGTGGTGCGTTGCTCCAGAACGAGCTCCCACCCGCTCCTGAGATCCCTTTTGCAGGAAATGCCCTGGGTGTGCCAGCAGCCCAGCGGGTTTTCACACTTGCTGCTATGTAAATAAATTGTGCTTCCCTCCATCTAGTTTGATTTCAGATTGCTGTCCTTCACCAGTCTTCTGTCACCTCTTGAGACACAGTTTGCGCAGTCAGAAGAGTGCGGTATTTGTGGTAATTTTGCTCTAAGAAACCCTAACCCACAGCATTTGTCATCAGACAGAGCTTGTCTGTCTGGGCTAAATTTTGTGGCTGGGGCTTGCTGCTGATTTAGCCACTGGTCCAGTAATAAATAGCGTGCGGGCTGTGAGTTTCAGTGTACCAGCAAGCACAGGAAATTGAGCGGTTCTCAGTGTAGCTGTATTGTGTTCCAGTTTTCTTTTTCAAGAAAAAAAATGATCGAGTGGTTGAGTAAATGCAGAAAGCCTGCCAGAACGGGTGGCTGGGTGCAGGAGGAAGCATGGTGTGAATTCATTTGACCTCAGTATTAAAGTAACGAGAGGGCTACAGGTCATGGAGACTGTTTCACTTTGTGCTGTCAAGGGGAAGAAATCCGTGCCGCGTGTGCCAGGTGTGGAGCTGCCGTAAGTCATTGCACTTTGGCAGAGCGGTGCCCTCTGAAAATCAACCAACGGTGCTGATACGTAGCCGTGGGTGATCATGTCTCCTTGAAGTGTCATTACATGAGTCAACCCCTCCTGTTCCTGCACTCCCATTACCAGGGCTTTGTCCAGTGTGGGAAGCGTTCAGCTTCTACGGATGTTGGATTATAGCAGCTGATGGAGCCTGATAAAAGGGACCGGAATAACAGGGTGCGATTAACTATTGCAGCTGCTGCTGGACACTCACTCTCTGAAGATGGTTCTCCTGGATCTGCCCTCCATTGGGTCCCAAGTGGTGAGGAAGGCTCCTGCCAGCTACACGAAGATAGTGGTGAAAGGCATGACTCGGGCTGAAATGATCCTGAAGGTAACTCAAGACTTTTGATAAGCTGCCAGCCAGACTGCTGGACTGGGAATCGGAGCGAGCGAATTCCAGGGGGCCCTTCCTTTGAACGTGGCAATCTGCAATTGCACGTGAACGTTTGTGAGCTTGTCCGGGTGTGCTGCCAGCTGTTCTGCAGAACTGGCTTGTTCGCCTTGGGTTTGCCCCCATGCTCTTCTAACATCGCGTTTGAGTTTTCATCCTCATTTTTCAAGGTAACCGCGGGCTCAAGTTCTGCTTGCTAGGAGAGCTGGGGCACCGCATTCCCTCAGGAGCTTGTGAAAATCAGAGCTAGCATCCGTAAGTGTCTGCCGCAGGGCAAACCCTCCAGTTCAGGTTACTCCGGGCCCCTGTGCAGACTCCATCGCGCAGCCAAGCTGTGCTTGAGTCACCTGTTTACTGTCTAGTGTAACAGCCAGTGCAAACATGTCTGGGTTACTGTATTCACCAGAGTTCTTTTTCATTTTCCAGACCTGGTGCCTGGAAAATGACCCAAAAGCAGTGTGTTGTCTTCATAAAAAGTAACAAGCAAAGCAATCTGCCCTTGCCCTCCTTGCTGGTCTGATCCCAGAAAAAGCTGCAGGAGCTGTGCAGTAGTACGCTCCGGGGCGATGGGACTGTCCCCTGCTCACCAGCAACGCTGTGAAGATGCTCCTGTGGGTGAGTCGGAGGGACCTGGGGTCAGGCAGGGCAGGCAGCTGCCAGCCAGAGCCTCCTGGAAACCACAGCCACGGCACAGGGGGGTGCGGAGCCCCAGCTCTCCGTGCCTGCCTGCTGCTCAGTGTGGCTTTGCTCCCACGCCCAAGGTAATGTCACAGATGAATTTGTTCTCGGAATTCAGAAATTAGTTCTGCAATTCCACGCTTTTGGAGTAAGGTGACTGAGATGTTAGTAGACACATTAAAGCAAGTCTAAATTTTCTTGGAAATGACCTTAAGAAAAATAACCTGGTACTGCTAGCAGAGGAGCAGGGAGGATCAATTGCATACAGAAACGGGTCTTTCCGCAGATCTTCTATGTGAGTCAGAGAAGTAATGGAGTTAATCTGTCTACCCTGAACATCGCATTGGCTTTGTCAGGATGGAGGTGAAAGCCGTCCAGGAGGTACCTGGGGGTGCCGGCTGCGGGGTGCTGCTGGCCCGTGGGCTGCACAGCAGCAGCCTCACTGCTCTTCCAGACACCCCGTGCTTGCCGTGACGCTGCATGAAGCACTTCTGCCGGCCCCAAGCGAGGGCTCGGTGTCAGGGTCACCAGTAATTAAACAGCCACACGCTTACGGCATGCAGTGCTCCACAGAGCTATTTTACAAATTCATGCCCGTGTAATCAGCAGGCGACGGGGCTGAGTGGTTGGCTGGGGCAGGTTCATTAATAATTCGGGCTGAATAGATCACCCTGAGCCTGGGTAACTCCTGCACAGCGCTTGGGGCTGGCGTCAGCACCCGTCTCTCGGGTTTGGGAGAGAAAAAAAGGCTCTTGGAAGTGCCTGCTGCCGCTGGACGACCAGTATTTCTGTAGGAAGGTTTCCTTGCAGGAGCCCAGAGCTGGCTGGTGATCTATGGCTGTTCGGTTTGCCTTGTGAGTTGTCTCTTTTAATCACTGCTCAGACTCTCGCGGCTGGTTCCAAATTCTACACTGAGGAGTCTTTTCCCTAGAACTCTTTCACCCCATCAGAAGCACAGGCCAATACGCTCCTCCTCAGTGTTCTCCTACCTGGTGCCGAGACGGTTTGGAAGCGGTGCCTCTGTTGCACACAGCAGTGCCACCGCAGAGCAGCGTGCCCGGGCTGACGCCAGTGCAGCTGATTCCGCAGCAGTATGGTGGAGCCCGTAGACGGCACAACCCGATTCATTCAGCTGAGCCCCACAAAGCGCAGATGCGAGCGGGGAGGAGGGCGTCAGGGCGCGCACGTCCCGCAGAGCTGTTTCCTCTCTCCTCTGCCTGCGCCGTCTGAAGTTCCAGCTTTTCAGCTTGGCAGAAGATTTTTACAACGGCTGTAAATTAAGGATTTATAAGTGTATACATGGCTATGAGGTTTCATTGGTCTGAAGTGCAGGGAAAGAAAGAAATGTCTCGGTGACAGAATACAGTGTGGGGTGAGCTGGGTCAATGGAAACACATGGAAATGTTTTCAGAGACAGGGAAGAGTCTGGTCCTGTGCTGTTTCTGCCCTGCGTGCAGGCACACATTCACACACACGCACGCTTCCCCAGAAAGATGGGTTTGCTGCCCAGCATTATCAAAAATGCATTCTCTGTGGAGCTCGCTGCTTATGTAAGGAAAATATAACAATCAGTAATCATCTTTCCAGGTTCAAGGCTATTTTAATTTTTTTTCCTGACTTGACCGTTGCTGGGACTAAGAGGGTGTGAGCTCCGGGGCAGATGTCAGCCGGGGTGTTGATGGAGGGAGTAGCTGCAGGGTGCTGTCAGAGCCCCCTGCGACACGCTGCCTGTGCTCTGCCTGTGGGCAGGAGGGAGCGAGAGGGTTGCACATCCGAAGGGGGGTCTGGACTGCGTCCTGGCTGCCGGATTGGCTGGGGACTTGCTAAGCATCACCGCTACCACCAGCGCTGCCTTTCTTCCCCAAGCGACTCACTAGCTAGTCTTCCCCATGCAACAAGATAAAATCTTGAGCTTTGCCAAAATGCCAGTGCCTGCCAGCCCACAGGGTGCAGTCAGAGTCCTGCCGCTCTTTGAAATGGGATGCACAGCCCCTGCAGCCCTGGGTCTGAGCACCACTGGTGTCCAGGAAAAGACCCCGTCCTCTCCTCTCCCGCTCCGTTACTAGCAGTGTGTACAGCCTCTGTCTTGTTCCTTAAGCATCTCATTTTAGAAGCCAGCCCTGCTGTCACTTGTGTGCCTGAGTTGACTGAGCACTGGCTTTAACTCACAGAATTTGTCTGATCTCTTTTTTTCTTGTCTTGCAGGTGGTCATGGCTCCGCACGAGCCCCCGGTTGTGTTTGTCGACAATTACATCAAGCTCCTTGCTGACTGCAGCACAGACACCTTCCAGAAGATACTAGACATGAAGGTTAGAACCAGTCCCGCAGAATGTCTGCTGGCGCTGCATCGAGATTGCTGGTGGCTTCTTTTCAGTAGAAATAGAGGGGTTTGGGAGTGGGAAAAAAACTAAGGCAAGTGTGTCTCCTGTACTCTGAAAGTGCGTAGAGCTGCTGCTGAAGAATAGCTTTTCAGTTGACTTTGCATGCTCGTGGCTGCTCTGGCTCCCGGGGCTGAGCTCAGTTGTCTCGGGATCGTTTGGAGGTCTACAGACAGCTCTTGGTGGGTGAACAACCGTGTGAGGTTTGAAGCGGGCTCTCCCGCAGCGATTCTCATGCGCGCCCGCTCCCAGGTCGGTGAGGTCCAGCCTGATTGCTTCACCCTTCTTTGCTCTCGCAGGGCCTGAAGAGGAGCGAGCAAAGCAGCATGCTGGACCTCTTCCGCCAGCGCCTCCCGGCCCCCCCCTCCGGCACGGAGAACGCCGGCTCCCCCTCGCTGAGC